AGGCGCTCAACCTCGCGTCAGGCGTCTGAGCTTGACGACTCTGATCATTGTACGTTTGCTACCCTTGGTTGATTTCGTCGGCTCACTCTTATACGTTACTTCGGCAGGACCTTGCAATCTTAGTAGTGAGGAAGCTACCTTTGAAAACCACACGATATTGAGAAAAATCCTTATACTTCAACAAGCCACCTATCTACTAATTCCGGTCATGCTATTGGCTCTCCTTCCACCCGTATATCACACACGCTATCATTCATTGTACCATACGATCCCTCATTAAACTATTCAAATTTGCACTATATCGATCTATCATTCCCCCGCTCTCACATACACGCATACTTGTGCTATATCACACCATCAATACATCTAGTGGAGAGATATCTTCTCAACCTTATCGATGAATTCGAGAAAGCAGCTACTAAACTTTAGCCAGACTCCCGTACACAGGCAGACCACAAAGCGATCCTTCTATGCCGCCAAGTTTATGCTTTCGATGAGAGATTTTGCGATCTCGCCGGTAGTCATTTTGGAGATAGTATCAGTGTCCTGGATATGGGTATTTTCCGGATTGCTGCGTCCGATAATATGGAACTTGGAAGAAATGTACTTGAGTGGCGTTCATACCGATGATCGAGAACCAAACAGTGGAATCCAAGGCTGCATCAAGGCTGCCCCAATGCCATCTACTGCACCGAACACGCGAGATGACACTGAGAGGGCTGATGGGCAGTGGCCCGTCATGAAGTCTCACTGTTCTTACTTGAAGGTTACTACAGAACTCGGGCACTGAGTGAAACACAAGTGCGTGCACAGAGATCTCGAGGTGTGGTCATCATATTTGTGTGAGCAATCGCGTACGTCGGTGAACTTCTTGAAAAACTTGGCATGGAATAACCTTCCGCAATTCCACGACCAAAGTAAGGCAGCATGCGGTTGGTTGGTTGATTGATTTATTACATCTAAACATGACCATGGCATTGAATAAATATTGAGCGCTTAGGCGAACCAACCGGAGGTGCCAGGCAGGCTGAACATGGTGGCAGTCTGGGAGGATGCATTTCAAAACAGCCGGAAGTATCTGTACAGTTGCCCTGAATGCACCGGTGGTCGTGGAAATTAGGCATCACATCTTGCAACAAAGCAGGAATCTCTTTGGTAGCGTGTATAAGCAGCATATAAGCATGCCACAGACCTCACAAGGAAAATTTGGAATTATTCGAGCCACTTCATTGCCCACCAAGGCATACGGCCTGAAGAACGACTGGCAACCATCAGTCGACTCCGAATGCCAGTAAGATGTGCTTACTATATGACTTGCTTCCGGAGAAACTAGCAGAGTTGTTCAGTGGGATCTAAACCGACGAGGGACCAGAAAGCCCTGGGCACTCAAACTATTGTCCTAGGGCAGATGCATCATAGCAGCAACCACACAGTAGAGAGTTGCTGATTGGGGCCTTCATGAACCCCATGTCCTGACCTTCCGAGATATATCATGTTAAAACCTCACCTGCTCCGGAAGGTTGAGCATCATGAGTTTCAAGACCAAACGACACACTCACCTGATACTTCGTGTTTGTCTACCCGAACAAAGTAGCCAGCCGCTCTATGGATCTTGTGCTTTCTTGATATACTGACAGGAACCTGGAAAATGATATTCATGTGTGTCGAAGGTTCTGGCAGCCCTATCAGCTCGACCCGTACTCGATTGCCCATTCACGACCTACAATGAGGAAAAACAACCAACCAACCCAAGCGATCCCGAGTGACCATTCCAATACTTGGGCTATTGCTGCAGCCTTCAATTTAAATCAAGAGTGATAGCATCATTGAAGATCACCACATACAAAGAAGAAAAAAGGGACAGAGCACTGACTCGTCCAAGTTTGAAATGTGGGCCAACTCGACAAAGGTTCCAAACACTGTTACATAGGTGAAGGAGAAGCCAGAAAAATCTGTAAGGTAAGTAGTCCTGACAAAGTTCAAATGCCGTGCTGATCTCTTCAATTTATTTGAAGTTGTGTAGGAGGTGTGATGGAAGCTGGATGCGAGCAGCAACTTCTCACTTAGAACCTTTCAAGGGGAAAAACCGATGGGCCCCTTCGATTGTTTGAAGCGGCGAACGAGTTCATTAAAGGAGGCTACAAAACTGTGGCTTGAATTGGCGAGCGGAGTTGTATATTCAACAATTCCATTGTGTTCGTGAGATCTGACTGCATCATTCGCTAGGCCAACACTGTCGGTGTTGACGACGGAACATGAGCATGTGCTCATATGAAACATTTGGGCCACCCAGACACATGGCCGTCTTGGTGGGCTGACGATATTGGGTGCAATGACACACAGTTGAATCACCTCTTAACAGCATTTGCTAATTTCCAGTTAATCCCCCTCAGAAATTCAAATGTGATTGCGTACTATGAACATTCTTATTGTTGGTAATTACAGGATAACAGCTATGAGACACCAAGCTACCATCTCCTGGTTCTTTCTTGTACACACAATGAAAAATCAAGGCATATTGAGCCTTCTTCCCTTGATTTTGTGGCAGAAGTGATTGTTTCATCCCCTGATCTGGGGCCTCTTCTCTTCAGGAGGTTGCAGAGTGGATAAAGTTCTATACCGCTAGCATGTTGTTGTGCATCATTGAGATATTCTGCAGCTTGTTTGTGCACATCTTCCAGAAGAGTGTCGTAAAGCGCTAGTGAGGGATTAATTTGCCTCCACCTTTCGATATCCATTTTGGAGAGCTGTTGCGAAACCAGGAATGATATACTTGCAAACATCAAAGCATGTCTTTGTAAGGAGATGATGGTCAAGCTTCTTTCTGAGTCGTCCAGTGCGGAGGAAGCAGTCCCGGCATGATGTCCGGCCGATGAAACCAGGGAAGGGCCACTTGGTATTCTTTCCACTGAGCATCAAAGGAATGGTCGACGTTTGCCGCATCCATGTCTGTGTGATAAAAGAAAATCCAGGTAAAAGCCCACCATGCAGATTCAATGTCGTGCAGGAAATTCATGCGAAATGAAGGTTCGTCCAGGAGGCATGCACCAGGTGGGAAGAAAAGGTAGCCTTGAGTTTCTACTTCCACTGCCATGAAATGCATTGTTCCCTGTCAATGAATTAACAGCGAAAGAGATCATCTTCAAAAAAAATCTTACCGTTCAAACATCATTAGAAGTGTTTGAATCTATCTTTTTCACATACTTGAAGTCACCCAACTTCCCCACACCCCCGACCCAAATTGTGTTCCCAACGCTGAAATCACAATGGACCCAGCCTGCTTTGTGCATATAATACAAGGCTAAGTTGAATGAGCGACTGAGGAAAGGAGAGTGATAGTGGTTCGCTCACCCAGAAGTGCACTGGACATGCAACCCAGGATGTCGACCAAAGTGGTGATATCCTTGAGAGCTACTCCAACATCATGGAAGATAGTGCGAGTATGGACTCTGCATGGGATGCCAGTGTCTTTTCACGCAATACTGCCCAATATGTGGGAAGAAAGGTAGACAGCCGACCAGAGTTGGGTATGTCGCCTGTGCTAGGTAAATGTGATGTTGCTGAGAGGGTGCGATTGTGGTTGATGGACACCCACTTCCAGGTATGATCATGCTCTTCCTGCAACCATCAGGTCTAGTGTCTCATCTAAAGTATCGTCGATATGACATCCGTCCAGAGCCGGACTCCAATGAAGTGCCTCCTGGCGTTCGCCAACTCCTCTGCTCGCAGCTTCTCCGCACAGGAAGCCAAGATGTTTTCCAGGATGCTCGCCCTCTGTTATGACCCACGGTCCCTTAACCTAACTAGTAGGTGTCTGGAGGTGGAATCACACACACAGGACTCAGTCTGAAGAGGGTAAAGCGAGATGATATTTGAGAGGGAACGTCTAGGCCCTACAATGATGTAGAAACGAGGAGGTTAAGTCTAAGGAGTACTACTGACTACGACCTAAACTATATACTACTCTCTAGGCGGAGATAGCTGAGTATGAAAGGTTGTGATATAACTATATACGGTCATAACATTGCACCTAGGGTATAGGGGCGTCTTATCAACCAATCAACTACAAGGAGGAAAAGGGTAGAGGGTTCATAGGGGTCAAGGGTATTGGTAATATAAGCAGGGTTCTCAGGGGACTGCTTCTATTCAGGGTGGACGGGAGATTAAGAAGGGTGAGAGAGTTACTGTGACAGAAGTCCTCGAACGGTAATTAAGGATCTCGATAAGAGATAGGATCTAATGATCTAGATCTAAGGATCTAGATAGGATCTGGAGATGTATCGGGTTCGATCGGATCTAGGGGTTCTCCAGGGTCTTCGGTAATTAGCATGCTTCTCTATGAGCGTTGCTTCTGTGATAGGGGTTATGGGTTCTAGCTGTGACTGTGCAACAGGTTCTAATGTAAGGGGTTCGGTGAATGACAGAGGTAACTCTTACGTGTCATGTGTGAGAAGTGAAGGTCTGCGATTGAAGAGTGATAACTCTTCAAGAGATAGCCGTAAAGGACTCTTGGTTATGGTTCATCATAGAGGCGTGTAATGCTTATGATGTAACCCGTTTGCCTAATCGTAGAGACTTCTTAGGATGTGATGAGTTCGTATTCTAGGGTTACGGATATAGATGATTATGTTGATGTAGTATAGATGTGATGTAAAGATAGTGATCGTTAATCGGTTATCCCCTTTCTCTTATCAGGATCTATCTAATCTAATCTTATCGGATAAGGTGACTTAGGGTTTATAATCGAATTAAGCAGTTGGTAACATTATGACACCCTCTGATTGACGTCCAGCATCTCTCCATGAATCTTTGACGACAACCTTGTTTTCCCTCGGCGATCCGTAGCTTCATTCACATGAGTTCCACGCCCAACCATAGAGTCTGCGCTATAGGTTGCAATTTCACGTGTCATGGTGAACACTTCGTCCCGATAGTGAACTTGTATTGGAAACCCTCCCCATCACGGATCCGCTCGACGGTGGGGTCCCATCCGAGCTCTTTCATAGCAAAGACGCAGATGCAGATCCAAGAGCATAAAAGAGCAAAATAACACCATTGATGTTCTAGATGTACCATGCCTGTCAGCACCCTGATACACAGCGCAATACCTTTGCGTACCTGGAAGAAGTCGATAGGTTCAGTAACTGCAAGGAACGCACGATTGCTGAGCCACAGTCTCACTTGCATGTCCTCCATTGTGATACTGAACGCAAAACGACGAAGATCCTCGCGCATGATACTGAAGGCTCCAGACTATCTTCTCTTTTGCCCTAAAGCAGGCTTAGTGAGCAACACCAACAGATCTGTAACAACTTACATCTCAGAGAGACTCTCTATCCTGTGTCTTCTTGAACTCGAATGGCAAGCAATATCGAACCAATGTATCTTGTGCTGGGTTTTTTCGTTGTTAAGTACAAGGAATCCATCAGGCCTGAAAGTATTGTTGCGCTGCGAGAGGGGC